AAATAGGGAAATAAATAGGGAAATAAATGGGGGGGAAATAGGGAAATAAATAAATAGGGAAATAAATAGGGAAATAAATAGGGAAATAAATAGGGAAATAAATAGGGAAATAAATAGGGAAATAAATAGGGAAATAAATAGGGAAATAAATAGGGAAATAAATAGGGAAATAAATAGGGAAATAAATAAATAAATAGGGAAATAAATAGGAAAATAAATAGGGAAATAAATAGGGAAATAAATAGGGAAATAAATAGGGAAATAAATAAGGAAATAAATAGGGAAATAAATAGGGAAATAAATAGGGAAATAAATAGGGAAATCAATAGGGAAATAAATAGGGAAATAAATAGGGAAATAAATAGGGAAATAAATAGGGAAATAAATAGGGAAATAAATAGGGAAATAAATAGGGAAATAAATAGGGAAATAAATAGGGAAATAAATAGGGAAATAAATAGGGACATAAATAGGGGAATAAATAGGGAAATAAATTGGGAAATAAATAGGGGAATAAATAGGGAAATAAATAGGGAAATAAATAGGGACATAAATAGGGAAAAAAATATTGAAAAAAATATTGAAAAAAATATGGAAAAAATATGGAAATAAATAGGGAAATAAATAGGGAAATAAATAGGGAAATAAATAGGGACATAAATACGGAAATAAATAGGGAAATAAGTATGGGAATAAATAGGGAAATAAATAGGGAAATAAATAGGGAAATAAATAGGGAAATAAATAGGGATATAAATAGGGAATAAATAGGGAATAAATAGGGAATAAATAGGGAATAAATAGGGAATAAATAGGGAAATAAATAGGGAAATAAATAGGGGAAATAAATAGGGAAATAAACAGGGAAATAAACAGGGAAATAAACAGGGAAATAAATAGGGAAATAAATAGGGAAATAAATAGGGAAATAAATAGGGAAATAAATAGGGAAATAAATAGGGAAATAAATAGGGGAATAAATAGGGAAATAAATAGGGAAATAAATAGGGAAATAAATAGGGAAATAAATAGGGAAATAACTAGGGAAATAAATAGGGAAATAACTAGGGAAAAAGCTAGGGAAATAACTAGGGAAATAAATAGGGAAATAACTAGGGAAATAACTAGGGAAATAACTAGGGAAATAAATAGGGAATAAAATAGGGAAATAAATAGGGGAATAAATACGGAAATAAATAGGGAAATAAATAGGGAAATAAATAGGGAAATAAATAGGGAAATAAATAGGGAAATAAATAGGGAAATAAATAAGGAAATAAATAGGGAAATAAATAGGTAAATAAATAGGGAAATAAATAGGGAAATAAATAGGGAAATAAATGGGGAAATAAAAATCGGGAAATAAAAATCGGGAAATAAAAATCGGGAAATAAAAATCGGGAAATAAAAATCGGGAAATAAAAATCGGGAAATAAATAGGGAAATAAATAGGGAAATAAATAGGGAAATAAATAGGGAAATAAATAGGGAAATAAATAGGGAAATAAATAGGGAAATAAATAGGGAAATAAAATATGGAAATAAATAGGGAAATAAATAGGGAAATAAATAGGGAAATAAATAGGGAAACAAATAGGGAAATAAATAGGGAAATAAATAGGGAAATAAATAGGGAAATAAATAGGGAAATAAATAGGGTAATAAATAGGGTAATAAATAGGGAAATAGGGAAAAAATAGGGAAATAAAATAGGGAAATAATGGGGAAATAATTGGGAAAACAATAGGGAAAAATAGGGAAATAAAACAGGAAAAAAATAGGGAAATAATGGGGAAATAAATTGGGAAAACAATAGGGAAAAAATAGGGAAATAAATAGGGAAATAGGGAAATAAAATAGGGAAATAAATAGGGAAATAAAATATGGAAAAATAGGGAAAAAAAATAGGGAAATAATGGGGAACAGAAATTTGGAAAACAATAGGGAAAAAATAGGGAAATAAAATAGGGAAAAAATAGGGAAATAATGGGAAAATAATTGGGAAAGCAATAGGAGAAAAAATAGGGAAATAGAATATCGAAAAAATAGGGAAAAAATGGGGAAATAAATAGGGAAATAAATAGGGAAATAAATAGGAAAATAAATAGGGAAATAATTGGGAAAACAATAGGGAAATAAATAGAATAGGGAAATAAAATAGGGAAAAAATAGGGAAATAAATAGGGAAATAATTGGGAAAACAATAGGGAAAAAATAGGGAAATAAATAGGGAAATAAATAGGGAAATAAATAGGGAAATAAATAGGGAAATAAATAGGGAAATAAATAGGGAAATAAATAGGGAAATAAAATAGGGAAATAAATAGGGAAATAAAATAGGGAAATAAATAGGAAATAAATAGGCAAATAAATAGGGAAATAAATAGGAAAATAAATAGGGAAATAAATAGGGAAATAAATAGGCAAATAAATAGGGAAATAAATAGGGAAATAAATAGGGACATAAATAGGGAAATAAATAGGGAAATAAATAGGGAAATAAATAGGGAAATAAATAGGGAAATCAATAGGGAAATAAAAAAAGAATTAAATAGGGAAATAAATAGGAAAATAAATAGGGAAATGAATAGGGA